TGTTCAGAAGAAAAAGTAACTGGCTTTTTTTTACATAAACAGAATAGAAAAGGCGAATTAAAATTCCCTTCCTCATATGAAGGAGATGGAGGCGAACGAAAGTAAAGGTCCATTACAAGCGACAGTAAGACTTACCAGGCGGGATGATAGAGCATGTCCATCGTGGCAGTGGAGAGATGACGCAACAACTGAAATCTCACCAAACACTTGGACGCCCTCTCATTGAGGCTGTCCACGGCCTCAACACACGACTGCCCCTCCGTCGGCTGCTGCTGCTGCTGCCGTTGTTGTGCCTCATCCTCGTAAGGTGTCTTTGTGGTGTGGGTCTGCATAGCGGCCCGAAAAGCAGCTGTAGCGGTGGAAAGCATCTCATCTAAGAGGACGTAGCCAGTGGCCACATGTTCCTTGTCCTCGTGACCCATTACAAGGCAGATAGCATCGACGACTAGCTTTGGATCGAGACTCGGTTCTGCTGTCGGAGTGGACGGAAACAGCTAAAACAGTCCGAAGAAGAGATTTCGAAAATTCCGGGCATGGGGATGTATAAAACGGCACAGATGCGCGTTCAAGCTCTGCATGTGAGTTTTATACGAATTCTATTCGTACGAATTTGGTGGACACTTAAGAAGCAGACTGGGCCTGGTTATAGGATGCAGCCCTAGTGAGGGCGTGGTAGCCAAGGCCCAGTTTAAGACGAGAACTGCAGTAACGGGGGTTTGACTAACAGAGACGACCCAACTTTGCCTCAAACAAAAAACACTATCTCACTCTAGCCTAACGTCAAAGTGAACGAGATGGCCGGCAACGCACTTGGGCTGAGCACTACCTGACACACTAGGCGAGAAACTATACTTCAAAAAGAGCGATTAAAGCAGACGGCAAAAGAAGGAAGGAATTAAAATTTAAGGAATTTTCTCAAAAAGCTAGGTGCGATCCCTCTCAGTTCATCAACTGAAACCCCCTGAAAAATATTTCCGGGCGTGAGAACTGCATAAGAAGTAGAGGATTACCTGGTCGCTGCTGATCGCGCCCTCCGATAGCTTCGGTTTCATAGGTTCGGGCTCCGTGTCGCGGGGCGACGAAGCCATAACTTGATCATAGAGGTTAACAAGTGTCAACTGCCGAATCAGGAAGGTCATAAACACTCCACTCCCCTCGAACGGTGGTTGAATAGCTCCGCTCAGGAAGACGCCTCCGACGGCACGAAGGATAACTTCGCGGTTAATATCTGGGGAAAGAAGAATATACGGACAGTCAACAGCCCGAACAAAGTGCAATGATCCGCAGAACTGGAACATCAGCCACGCAGCTACGACTTGGAACCCAACAGCACGAGAGCTTCTTTTCTGATAACGAATGGTCCCCAGTTGATGATATTATAGCTACTGAAACTATTTGAGTAGAAATGATTACACTAACTTGCATTCTCTCTGACATTTATGGGCGAGGTTTGGTTGGAGAGTAAAGAATAAGTTCATTTTTCGAATAAGGGTATACGATTAGGGTAAGGGGATTGGGGCCGTAGGTTTAAGACTGCAATTAGGAGGTTTAGTATCCAGTTTCCGGTTGAAGCCAGGGCTTTTCAGTGTGGACAAGTATTTAGGACTAGTCATTAAGTCTAGTTGGTAGAATGAGACGTTTGGATTATTTGTGTAGAATAATAGTAAGAGGTAGTAGTTAGGACTAACAATTAAGATTATTTGATATGATTAATAGTTACAATTATTAGTTCGAATTAAAAGTTGGATAAGTAGTTTGCTTTAGTCCTGTACCCAACCCCAATTTCCAGGTATCAATCCTGAACGCAAATTCATAACCTAACCTCCATCAACCTAAGCCCATATCTCTATTTCCAAAATTAGCTAATTCATAACTTCCCAAATATGTCCCTAAAACGCGTGTGCAAAGCTGCCGAAGATAATTCAAGCCAGCATAACCGTAACTACTCAAATCGTTTAGTAAGCATTTCATAATGTGACCACCAAGGGAGGTTCCCGGAGTATTCGTCACCTACTTTCTTTATCGCTTTGAATCTCACAAACAGGGGGTTAGTGTTAGGAGCTGCAAAATGCAATAATAAGTTTGACAGAAACTTAAGCCCTATGAGGGGAATACTGAACTGGATAATGTAATCTAAGTTGCCGTCCTTAACTTTGACGACGGATTGGATAATGAGTAAGAGGGGAGATACAATAGGATGGCGTGACGGAGGGGTGAAATATGAGTACCACCATCAACATTTCTTGCGCTAACAACGCTGGTCAGGCCAGTAACATGCATAAACCTAAAGTATGTATCTTAAGCAGCGCAATACCTTTGGCGTGACGATCCTCGATAAGAAGGTCAGACACTTCGTTCCCTGACTCCGACGCATGGATGCATCTGGAGAGCTCGTCCAGCGGAAATGTCGGCAAAGACTGCAGATACGGAACGGAAGCCATTTCCTCATAAAGGTTTACCAGAGGATGGAGGTTAAGAGCAGCCACACAGACGCCCTTGAGGAAGTTCCAGGCACGCAGTCTAACCGGTCGGTCCATACTACCATCCTGTATTGGAGCAAGACAGGCAGACAGATAAGAAGAAGTCAATTATTTGGCATAGGCAGTAACGGCAAGAGGCAAAGATGAATGGGACCAAGTAAGGGAAAACTGCAAATATGGTGTGTTCAAATTGGCTAAACTTTTCGAAGCATACTAATTTCCCATAAGTCTGGTGGTTGCAATCATTAAGTGCTTACTTCCCGGGCTGTTAGAGGCACTTTGCGAACTAGTTATGCAAGAGTCTTTTAGAAGATAGCCTGTAAGAATATCACATCGCAAAATTACACTGTGACTGCAATGCATTTACTATTCTATGGGGGAACGCAAACAGTTGAAACAAGGTTTCGTAAGCGAAAGACAATTACACACTTATTATATTACTCCGGCTAAGGGAGTAGTCGTGTATTGTTACTATTTTAATAACCCACAGCTGCTCGCTTTTCGTCTGCCAGAAAGAAATTGACGCATTGTTTTTAATTTTATAGCCATTTTGTTACTATTAGAAAGCTCTAAGGTGCTCGCACATCGTTCCCTCAATAAAAGTGAACTGAATGGCAGATACCTCCTCAAGATTGCAATACTGGAAACCTAGTTAAGGCTTTTGAGTTATGAGTTGTACCCCATGGATATGAGAGGGGCTGGGAACATTGGCAAAACAGGAAGCAACGGTTTGGAGGCAGAGGAAGGAGGCTAAGAAACGCAAACAATCACGTGCGCGCGTACCCACCTGAACCGTTTCTACAGCCGCATCTACAAGAGTACGAATGGGCAGGTCCACCGGCTGGTTGGGATATTCGGCCAACCAAAAACGCAGCTGAGGGCCAGCTTCACCGCAGGCAACGTCCAGATTGAGACGCTGTACATCACCGATATCTGCGCGGTTGTATCGTCCCAACTTTCCCAGAACCTAGCGACAACACAAAAAACGACAGCATCAGTGACAAGTA